TAGTCTAGTGAAGAGAAGAACCAGGGGGGACATGCTGGCAGTCTTCCAACATCTCAGGGGCTGCTCCAAAGAAGAGGGAGTCAAGCTATTCTCCAAAGCACCTGAGGGAGGACAAGAAGCAATGGGTGGAAACTAATCAAGGAGAAAAGCAACTTAGAACTAAGGAGAAATTTCCTGACAGTTAGAATAATTAATCAGTGGAACAACTTGCCTCCAAGTTGTGAATGCTCCAACACTGGAAGTTTTTAAGAAGTTGTTGGATAACCATTTGTCTGAAGAGGTGTAGGGTTTCCTGCCTAGGCAGGGGGTTGGACTAGAAGACCTCCAAGTCCCTTCCAACTGTTTTATTCTATTTCTTCTATTTATTTTAGCTTGTAGGGGAAAGAAGCCTCCCACTGTACCCACCTGCCTTCCCTCACTTCTCTTTTGCTCTCACCCCACCAGGTTCAAGCTCAACCCCAAACAGTCACCTTGTCCCAGACCACAGCGGGACAACACCAAGTCCAGGTCATCCCAGCCACCACTGCCACGGCTCAGGTCGTCCCCCAGAAACTGATCCAACAGCAAGTGGTAACCACCGCCTCCCCCCAGATCCAAGCTTCGGTCGTGCCAAACCCTGCCCAGGCGCCTGCCCCACCCGACGGGCAGAGTCAGCAAACGAAAGTGCAGATGAGAGCACCCGTCCGGTTAAAGGCTCCGAACAAACCCAGTTGAGCCCTCCCAACTTTTCGTGGCAGCAAGCCAGGGAGAGAGAGAGAGAGAGAGAGAGCTTCTCTAGGTGGTCTCCCGTCTGACAAGATTGGAGGTTTGGCTTCTCTCCTGCAAAACTTCTTACTCGTCTGCGCCAGAAAGGGCCGTTTCCCCTGCTCTCCTCCAGACTTCTCTGCTTCCCGGAGAGATCCGTGGCTTTCGAAGCCGACCCCAAGGAAACGCCGTTCTCGCGAACTCTGCCGTTAGCCCAACCGCTCATCGATGCTCACTGCCCTTTCGGTGGAAACCCCGCAAAGTTGCTTCTCCAGTGTCGTGGGTAGCAACGCCGGTCGTTATGGTCCTCCCCTGTGAGAAGGGGGAAATCTTTTTAGAACTTTGTGGGGTACAAAGCTGGACACTATCCGGGCCTCGCATGTCCAAGTGGGAGGTGGGGGTGGGGGGGAGGACAGAAAGTTTTGTCCAAAGCAAGAGGTCTCCAACCTTGGCAACTTGGAAGCCTGTCGGACTTCAACTCCCAGAATTCCTCAGCCGGCTTTGCTTTTCTGGCTAAGGAATTCTGGGAGCTTTGCTGGCTGAGGAATTCTGGGAGTTGAAGTCCTCCAGCCTGCAAGTTGCCAAGGTTTGGAGACCCCTGTTCCAAAAGCACTCCCTTCTCCGTTGAGCCGAGAAATGTGAAGATTTGTAAGTATCTGTAATTATGCATCCTATTTCAGTCACCTTTTTTTTCAGGGGGGGGGAGAGAGGTTTGAGCCTTTTTTAAACAAACATTAACTTGTGGCACGTTGGTTCGTGGGGTGGGGGTATGTCAGGCATTTTGCTTACTGTTTTGCTTAATCGGTCTTCGTGTTTTGAGTGTGTGTGTGAGTGTGTGTGTGTGCGTTCTTTGTTTTATTTTTCTTTTGTACAGAGTAAAACTCTTTGTTTTAAAGCTTCCGCTTCTCTCTTTTTTGCCCCTCACGGTTTCAGATATTAAGTGTGCTAGACATGTGGTTGATTGGTTGGTCTTTTTTTATTTAAGGTATTAATATTATGTGACAGTGACTGTATTTCAGCGTCGTCCATCATTCTCAGCCCCTTTTTCACGGGTGGAAGGAAAAAAGAAAAGAAAAAAAACGTGTTTCATTGCTCATCAGATGTTCTGTTTTGGGGGGGAGGATTGGGGAGGGGGCTTCCAGGCTGAAGGAAATTTTAACTTAGGAGTTCCCAGCGTTGGTTTTGGCCCTTTCTCTTTGCGGTCTTGTTTTAAAAGCTCAGCTATGTTTCCATTTCAGAGAGTTGGAGGAGAGAGAGACATTCAGGCAAATTATTATTATTTTTTCTATCAATGCCAAAACAACAGAGGTATTTTTCAGACCTTCAGTTGTTTGAAACAAACTTCTTTCCTTCCTTCCTTCCTCCTCCTCCTCCTCCTCCTCCTCCTCCTCCTCCTCCTCCCATTATTCCTTGCCTTATCCCTTTCATCATTCCTCTCCCCCTCCCTTCATTATTGTTCTGTTTTCTTCTATCCTTCTCCTCCTTCGTCATCTTCCTTCTCCTCCTCAACCTCCTCATCCTCTTCTTCCTCCCCCCCCCCCATACTAACTTATATAGTGGCATTCATGCCAAACTTCCGGACAATGTCGGTCCTACCTCCAGATGTTCCCAAGTTGAGATTTGTGCTGGCCACATAACTTCGGCATCTCCGCTCTTTCAAACAGGCACAATTTCTTACCCCCTTTTTGTCGTTGCTTTTTTGCTCTTCTTAGCGCCCTATCCTTTCTATTTTGGAGCCTCGGGGTTGTTTTTCGTTTTTACAAAAAAAACGGTATCCTTTTTAAAATTTAAATTAAAAAAAAACTTTCTACGTGAAGGAAGGTTGAAGTTGTTTTACCCCAAAATCTATTTCATACCATGGACTTGTATTTTATCAGTTAAATCTCCATTCGGGAGTGCTATAATTCATTTGAAAAAACCAAGATATTGGGGATGGGGGGAGCCGTTTGGCCCCAAGGACCCTACAAGACTGGGATGTTGGCAAATTAATGCCCCCACCTTAAAGGGTCCTCTCACTCTCCTTTCCCCCACCTTCCATGCAAGTCTGACAGCCAAAACGAATTTTGCTCCCAAATATGCTAAAATCTTAACGTGTGCACAAGGCTGTAGGCTATAAATCCCCTGTACCTTTAACAGGGTTGGGTTAAGCGTGTTGGGACTTCAATTCCCAGAATTCCCCCAGCCAGCAGCTGACTAGGGAATTCTGGGAGTTGAAGTCCACCCTGCTTTACATTACTGAGGCTTAAAGGAACACTGCTGTAAATGAACTCCATATGCATAAAGTGACACCGCCCATTTCAATTTCACTGTGCCGGTTTTGAGTGTGTCTGATTTCAACAGAAAAAATGTGTATGATTTCCGTGTCTTGATTTTCACGGGAAAATGCCAATTTGGTAGTTCCACATTTCTGATTACCTGTTCCTTACTTTCTCCCCTTGGTAAACTGACTTGTAAATAACCTTTATGAAGATAAAAAATAATTTGCACTTGACTGTAGGCTGGGAAGGATTTCTGTTGTATCTTACCCGAAAGTGTATTAAAAGTGTACATTTTTACAACATTCTTGTAACTTGTGCGTACCTAAAGTGTGTTTTGTCTGATCTGCCCTCCCTCACTCTGACATTTAGGGAGATGGAGCCTAAAATCTTGAAAGTTTTTTAATAAATCAACCATGCCGATCAAAGTGAATCTCTTTTTGCCACCTTATCCTCCTCACCATGTAGGTTTTTCCATTGTGTTCAAACTTTTCCAGCTTTTGCAGTTAAGAAAAAAATATATAAGCACTCCCCAACTGCATATTCCCATATTTCCCCATCAGCCTTCATCATCATCATCAACATCATTTAGGTAAAAGTAAAGGTTTCCCAAGCACATATGTGCTAGTCATTCCTGACTCTAGGGGGCGGTGCTCATCTCCGTTTCAAAGCCAAAGAGCCAGTGCTGTCCAAAGACGTCTCCGTGGTCATGTGGCCGGCATGACTAAACGCCGAAGGCGCATGGAATGCTGTTCCCTTCCCACCAAAGATGGTTCCTATTTTTCTACTTGCATTTTTTACTTGCTTTTGAACTGCTAGGTTGGCAGAAGCTGGGATAAGTAATGGGAGCTCACTCCGTTACATGGCACTAGGGATTCGAACCGCTGAACTTTCAGCCTTTCTCCTGTGTGCTGCTCCGGGAATCCAATCATGGGTCTGTGTTGAAAGGTTCCTCCCTCCCCCAAGAACCATAACAAGTAACAGGAGCTCACTCCATTACGCGGCACTATGGATTCGAACTGCTGAACTTCCTGATCAACAAGCTCAGTGTCTTAGCCACTGAGCCTACATCATCATTTAACAACCCCACAATCCCTTCAGGGTGGAGTCTGGGCAACAGAATGGAGCTAGCAGAATGTTTAGTGGCCGGATGCCCGTCCTGTTGCCATTGCGGAGTTTTGTTCAGCAGATATATTCTCATTGTGTCCAGAGAGAGAAATATCTGCCTCTACCTGGGATCGAACTCATACAGTCTCTTGATTGTGAGGCGAGAACTCCACCTCTAGGCCACCACACCACTTTATTTCCCCATCAGCCTTGAAGGAAGTTTAAAGAGAAGAATTTTTAAAATACAGATAGTCCTCAACTTACCACCACAATGGAGCCCCAGAATTTATGTTGTTCAACAGAAATTTGTTAGGTGCATTGAGTTTTGCCCTATTTTACGACTTTTCTTGCCACCGTTGTTATTAAATTAGTAACATGGTCGTTAAACTAATCTGGTTTTCCCATTGACTTTGCTGGTCAGAAGGTCGCAAAAGGGGGATCGCCAGACCCTGGGGCACCACAAAGATCATCAATATGCGCCCATTGCCAAGCATTTGAATTTAGATCATGTGATGGTCGTATGAAAAATGAAAGATGCTACAATGGTTGTGTGAAAAATGGTGATAAGTTCCTTTTTTTCCCAGCGCTGTCACTAAACTTTGAACTGTTGCTAATCCAGGATTACCTTATTCCCATATTTCCCCATCAGCCTTGGGGGGCATGTTTAAAGAGAAGAATTTGTAAAAAATGTTTCATTTCCTCTGTTCCAGTTTGTATCCGTGCTTATTCCTAAAAAGTTTAAATAATACACAGTTAGTGGCCAACATTGTGGAAACTTTTGGGGAAAAGTGCATTTTCAAAACTAGTTTAATACCACCACTTTTTGGGGAGTAGTACCATAAAATTAATATATCATTTAATCAAGAATGCAATAACTTTTATGAAGGATTTGCTATTAGAATAGCAGTTATAAAGTAGAAAAGTGAAACGAGATATACAAAAAAGATCATCATAGAAAAAAACAAGATATACAAAAATGATCACCATAGGAAAAACAAGATAGACAAAAAAATTATCGCCATGTCAGTTAATGCTTAGTTGGGTAACCTTTAGCATGAATTATGGCCTTATAACGTCTTCCCATGGAGTGGACCAAGTCTTAGTTGTTATAATGTAAAATGTTATAAAGCAAACAGCTGTTATAATGTAAAATTGGGTTTTATCACAGGCTATATTTGCCTATAACTCTTCATAGAATACAGATAATTAAACAAACCATGTTGCATTACATTCTTGATTAAATTATCTTTCCATGGATATAACTCCCAAAATAAAATGGTGTTATTAGCCATCAAACCTCAAAAATACACTTTTCCCAAAAGGTTTCCACAATTTTGGCCACCACGTTTATGGGCCGGGGAGTGGAGAGACCAGGAGGAGCAATAGGCAATTATGCCCCTTTAGAAGGAACTTTCTCTGCCCAGACAGATGTGCTAAATTCCCATGCCTGGCGCTTCCCAGATGAGCTGCATTCCCACGTTCCCAATATTCCTCGCCTCCACTGGGGGCTTTTCCCGAGCCATCCACCCACCCAAAGCCCCCCCCCCCAAAAAAAAAACTAGCCAGGTTTTGGGTCTGGCTAGTCTAAAGAAAAGAAGAATTAGGGGTGACAAGATAGCAGTATTTCAGTATTTGAGGGGCTACCCCAAAGAAGAGGGGGTCAAATTATTCTCCAAAGCACCAGAAGGCAGGAAGAGAAACAATGGATGGAAAATGATCAGAGAGAGAAGCAACCTGGAATTAAGGAGAAATTTCCTAACAGTGAGGACAGTTAACCAGTGGACCGGATTGCCTCCAGAGGTTGTGAATGCTCCAAGACTGGACGTTTTTAAGAAGAGACTGGACAGCCATTTGTCTGAAACGGTATAGGTTCTCCTGCTTGGGTGGGGGGCTGGACTAGAAGACCTCCAAGGTCCCTTCCAACTCTGTTATCCTTTCTTGCTTCCTTCCTTGCTTCCTTCCTTCCTTCTTTCCTTCCTTCTCCATCTCTGGAAGTTTTTAAGAGATCGGACAACTATTTGTCTGAAATGGTATAGGTTCTCTTGCTTGGGTGGGGGGGCTGGACTAGAAGACCTCCAAGGTCCCTTCCAACTCTGTTATCCTTTCTTGCTTCCTTCC